TATATATATATATATATATATATATATATATATATATATATATGCTCAGCTCCAAAGATGGGTTTTCTTTATTTGCATGCATTTTCTCTCTTTGGCGCATATAGTTGATCAAGGCGCAGAGGTGCTGGAACAGCAGAATCCTGTATAGGCTCGGGAGTGCCCTTGCTGCATAAATTTGCTGCTGCCCCTCTGCTGCCTTGGCGCCTGACACCCTTAGCGTTTGCTGCTGTGTGTTTTGTTATTCTTGTACTTTATTTCTTACTAGGGCCACCCAAAAGGCCAATGCTCAGCTCGCGGAGATAGCGAAGAAACTCGAGGCCTCCGAGCAGGAAGCGGCCTGTCTGCGGCAACAGGTTCAGGACCTTCGGGAGGAATTGCAGCAGCTGCGGGTGGTAAGACAGCAACAGCAGCAGCAGAAACAGCAGCAACAGAAACAACAGCACCAACAAACCGCTGTGGAGCTTCTGCTGCTTTGAAACTTCAACCCCGCCCTCCACACACTTGCAGGGTTTGCCTGCGCGGGTACAAGAGCACCTGCGACGTATCCTTGTGCAGTGCTGGTGCAGCAGCGGGCTAGCAGGAACTCCGAGCTGCTGCAGCGACCGCCGGAGCAGCCGCCTTTTTGGCGGATGCAAGGGCAACTGTTCGAACAACAAACAAATGAGGGGCAGCAACGGGGCTTGCAGGGATCTGGAAGAACAGAACGGGGAGAAGCTGGCAAACATGAACGTGGGAGCCGTCGTGCTGCAGCTAGTGAAGTAAGAATAGTGGATTCTTCATCGGTGTCCATCTCCTCGAAGCACTGCAGTTTCAGTACAAGTTATAGCAGTTGGTTGGTCATTGTTCATTCCCGTGTTCATGTGTTTGTTGCTTGTTCCACAGCCCATTAGAGAGCACGACCCCGGCGCCCATCCTACCGTAAGCGCCCGCCTATAGCTTAACTGCAACGCAGGGGGTGTGAGGCTAACGAGGGCTTAGGGTTTAGTTGAGATTTACGGTTCCGGGGGAGTCTGGAGATACGGTTCTGTTGTCTGGATGCTGCGCTGCAGCCGCTGCTGCTGTTGTACTGCGAGGGTCGCACAGCGCACACCGTTGTACAGCGGGGCGACTTCCCGCGCATTCCTAATGAAGTGAGGGAAGGTGAGTTTACCTGAAGCTTGGGGTTTAGGGTTTAGGGTTTAAGATCGTCTCGTGCATATTTCAGACACAGAGGAATGCTGGGACTGAAGAGACCCTGTTGATGACGTTCACGAGCCTCAGCAGGAACAGGAGGGTGTGTTTGTATGAAGGCACTGTGGATGAGATCGGAGGCCACGCTGCAGCAGTATCTCGGTTTCTTCTGCCTCCAACGCCCCTCATCTTTGAGCCTCCAATTGACGTCAATAAAAGCGGATGTACGGAGGAGCAGAAAATCCTTCACTGCCTTCGGGCCCCTTAGCACCGCTAGACGCGTGTGGTGCTCTATACTGCATTTTGCGCCATCTCCTTGGTGTATTTTTCAAAGGGAGGATGCTTATGCTGTATTATTGCATTTTCCCTTCTATTGATTTCTGTTGCTACTCTTATTATTTGCTTCCCCGAAAGTATTTTTTTCCGTATGCAGCTATTCACTGAAAGGCTTGGTGTGTGTATGTTTGTGTATGTATAAGTATACAACTACGTGCCTGTGCAAACATATATGCACATATAGAAACGCATACCTACAACCCCCAGAGAAGAGGGTAGCAAAAGATGCAGACGAGTTAGAGGTGGGATGCTGCATGCAGGTCTTTACGGGTTTCTACCTGTGGGGCGGACGGACCACTTCACTGTCGACGTCGTCCTCAGACTGCCCGTACTTAGCAGCGACGGCTTTAGAATGGTGTTCGTACACCCAAGTAGCGGGAATAGGAACTATGCGCCTCTTGGGCAACCCCGCCAGCAGCTTACTTCTGTCTACGATCCGCTGATTTGCACAAGGGTCAAAGACGAAGGAGGCGAAGGAACTCCAAGGACTCTGGGAGGCAACGCGGTAATGCATGCAGCAGATATCTCGACACGGGCGTTGTTGTTGGCATTAATGTGACGTACTTTATTTTCAAGGGCCGCTTTTGTTTTGCAGTGGTGGTTTAGGATATCATCGAATGGAAGGCATGTCAGGGTTTATTGTCCCTTTTGGTATCTGTGTCTGTCTTTTTATGCACTCAGCGCAAACGGTTTGAACACGGACGGGTGGGCTTTCTGCAAGAGTGATGCCCCACACCAAATCAAGGCGCGCTTAGTGCAGCAGCGGATTGTGTTGCTAAAGAGCGGAGCTGTGACAGTTGCTGCGTCTTCAGAAAGCTTTTGTGTCAGGATGTCTGTGGGGTGCATCTTGTGCGTAGGACTTTCCCCATAGATGCGCGCTGCTGCTGGCAGCGCGCTATTGGGTTGTCTCGGTAGGAAACAGCGACAGAGTGCAGCGTGTAGACCTCGGAGTTGGCACGAGGCCTCCGAGCTCTCCCCCTTGTGGGGCTGGAGATCCCCCTTCGTCTCCTGTTGAACACTTCTTTTCGTTTTTCAAGCAGGACGTCAGCGAATCGAAGCCAGAGAAGTATGGAGGCCCGGATTGATCGCCTACCTATCGGTTCCCTTGTATTATTGTAGCCATGGTTCTGCAGAAGAAGCCGCTGCCCATCACTATGTGTTTTCTTGTGGGTGTTTGCTGCAGGAATGCTCCGTTTATTCGGTGAGGCTATATATATATGCATATACTCCATTATAACTATGCATTAAAATGCTAGCTACAGTGTGCAGGTCTCTGTTAGGGAGACGGTAAGCTTTTGCTGAAGCGCCTAGGATGGACCAGACAGGATGTCAGTGGGAACTGTCTGCTGTTTGGTGTTTGTTGTGGCTCTGAAGAGTCACGTTGAAGTGTCAGAGGGAGGCGTCAGTAGGCAGCGCCAAGGAAGGGCAGAGGCAGATGCCCTCCATGCGAGTGTTCCCCTTCATTAATGGAGAGTCTTTGGAGTCCTTCACAGTCCCCAGAATGCCGGACTTCTACAAGATTTGCGGCATCAGTAAGTGGGCACAGCGATGCCCATATATATATATATATATATGCAGCGGTTAGCCTATGGCAATTGTTTCCTTAGGAAACCGCATCTTTGAACGCATATCGGAACAGAAACAGCCTGCACAGGTTTCCACTTAAGCACTGTTCATGAGACTAGTTCACAGGGTAGTATTCAAAGAGCAATGATAGAAAGTTAAACATTGACTTAGAGGGGGTTCAATCCACGTTCTATTTGCATGGTAGTAGGTGCGACCTGAGGGTGTGCAGGAGGGATGCCGGCTACCACCAAGAGGCACAGCTTAATACAAGTTGCTGAGAACGCAGTGGAACTGCTCTATGTGCGAGGTGGGCACAGAAGTTTCCTTGCAATGTTCTTTTTGAACGAAACGCGGCTTAGCGGCCTAACTACTCCTAGCTGGCCGTCGAATTGTCTAGACAAAAATACAGAGCAGCAAGAGAAGCGTTTTAAGAAGAACTCATTCATAATATACTCAATAAATATAAAGTTAGTGTTGTTTGCTATGATCTGACAGTGTTCAGCTGCGACTTCAACCCTGAAGAACTCCCCGTCCCCCCGGACCCCGGGCTGCTACTGCCTGGGCAACTGTACGCGTCTTCAGCAGCACAAGATGTACTGCTGGTTTCATCTAGCGGCGATGCAAAGCCAGAGGAAGTTGGATCTACAGATGAGGAAACCATATCGAGCTCTTTTTCCTTCGCGGTGAAACCACAGCAGGCAGCCACAATGCGGCAAGACGAAGAACTTGTTAGTTGGGGGGCAGCAGAGCGTGAATGGCCGGGGGCTCGGATACCTAACGGTCTTGCATTCAACATCGATAGGAGCACGCGGGGCGACGAGCTCTTCTCGATCCCCTCTGTAGCCCCAGCTGAGGATATCATTGAGCAGAGGCGGCAGCAGCAGCTGCTGCTGGAGTCTTTGCTACGGAGCCCTAGGGAGGGGGGCTCCCTTTTGTTTCAGCAGCAGTTACGGACACTTTCAAGGCATTCCCAGCCAATAGGAGCATATGAGGAGCACTGCACAAGGTTGGGACAGGTTGAGGGCCATTTCCGGAGCACAGTACAGCAAGATCAGAGCAGACTAAGCCGAGAACGCGAGAGGGCTGCCCAGAATGCAACAGTCCCGCCTTTTATCCTCAGAAAGAAAGCAGGGCGGCAAACAACACAGGGTCTTACAGTGTCTGATGGATTGCAAAAAGGTGCTGGACGACAGCTTCCCCACCAGGAGGTGGAGACGCAAACGCACAGAGATGGTGGCGCCTGCAGGCGCTGGAAGAGCGAGCAAAGAGCGGAGTAGAAGGGACTCTGCAGATCGTTTCATGTTCTCAAGATAAACACAGAAAGGGAATAAGACAAACCTCCTCAGCACCCTGCTTGCATTTCAAGAACAGGTATATGCGGTCTTCTGCTACTGTTTCTCACTTTGGCGCGACACCCCACAACTTGAATTTTGTGTCTTTGCACACGAGAAAGGGGGAGGCATTGTGTAATGTTTGGTGCATGCAACAACCTCGAAGTTCTTTTCTGCTTCGTCAATTTAAGAGAGGGTTAAGTCTAAAGAAGTTGACCGAAAACAGTGGGGAAGTAAATTTGCATGGTTGCAACAACTCCCTGCCAATGCATACACAGAAGGCCAACCCAGCAAACTCCCAGCACCGCCAGAAGTGGGTGCCTTTCTGCGCTTCGTTTGAGGTGAATGTACAGCTGATGTGCCCACTTAGCAGAGGAGCTCAGGCTCTGTCTTTCTACACTTCCACGGAGCATCCTGAGGGAAAGCATACAACCGCAGGATGCAGGGCTGCAGTGTGGCGCCCAACTCGAGCAAGACAAACTGTCTTGCACTAGCTAGGCTACAGCGGGGAGGCTTAGGGCTGCAGGCCCCGGTTTCGTGCAGCAGTGTACAGACAACTGGTTAGTAGCTGCATGGTGGAAGGTGCAAATATGTTTGCTCCATATAGAGCCACAGACAGAGACACACCACACCTGGCTGTTGAGCAGTGTTTGTTCATCAGCGCGAGGGTCTCAGCACGCAGGCGGCGCCGCCTTGTGGGGAGATTGGCGTTTGCGCCGTAATCCAACAACACCTGAAAATATTAAGTACAGTTAACAGAACGTTGCAGTATACCGATGCAAAATAAAGAGGTAATCTAGACATGTGATATGCCCATGTAATACAATGTTGATGTACTATTATACAAATGCAATATATGCGGATGCCACATATGGTATATGTTTTTATGAGACGATGAATTAGTATAGATATTTAATGCACATACTTAATAAACAGATGTAATGGTATCCATCTAAAGTATACAGATGTACTAATATACAGATGCAATAAACATGAATAGAGTACAAATGCACTATGCAAATGGAGCATTGAAGATGTAGTAGACAGATAAAATATACGGATGGAGGAGGTGATTCAGTCAAGATGTTTGTTGTTATCACCTTGCAAACATCTGAATACCCCCTAGAGGCTGCCAGATGCAGCGCTGCCCAGCCTCCCTGGTTTTGGGTGTTGATAAATTCTGCGACTGTCTTTGTTGTTGAGGTCCGCGTTTCTGTTGGGCTGGAGCTGATTGATGCTTGAGATTGAACCCGCTGCAGCAGCAGCAATATGCGGCAGAGAGCAGAGCCACTTGGACTTCCCTGGGGGCCTCCGCAATCCCTGCACATGCAGACGACCTCTGATGGGCCCTCAGGTGCTGCTGCTTCAGTCTCTTCCTCCTCTCTTGCTGCTTGTATGCTGCTGGCAGGGTCGGGGTCTACGAAGCGGCGAGCGTTGTAAACAAGCGCATGCAGCAGCGTGTCTCCTGAGCTGCTGCAGGAATCAAGAGGGGAGCCACTATCTAGCAGAAGCCTCAACATGCTGCGGCTCCCGCAATAAAAGGCTGCAGTGCAGCCCCTATCATCTCGTGCTCTAGCTAAACATGTACGACAGAGAGGAAGCTTCACAGACACAGAGCGGGTGGGCTGGAGCCCCTCTGGGGCTGGGGGGGTGCATGCAAAGGCTATTGCTGCACTGCCAAGGCAGCAATGACAGCGCGCGCTCGCCTGCTGCAGCTCCGCAGCAGCATCTTCCTTCAGCAGCAACGCGGCCAAAGCGAGGTCATTTGAAGCAGAAGCCATGTGCAGGGGAGTCAGGCCGTCGGGGAGACAAAACCGTCCTTTACATCTTCTGTCGCTGCACTGCGGTGCTGCTAATAACAAAGCCGCTGCCTGAGGAAAAAAAAAGCATGCAAACCTCAGCTGCCGCTTCAAACCCTACAACATGCAACAGAGCAACCGCCTCTTGCACTGCCACTATCTGTGTTCCTGCCTTGCAAAATACAACAAGAAGGTTCTCTTCGCCAGAATACACCCCAGAAACAGTATTTGCTGCACTATGGGGGTTGGACTTGCATGTGCTGTGTTTTGCTGCATGAGGAGGTGCGTCAATATACACCTGTGTACTATATTCCATCTATATATCGCATCCCTGCATTACCACTTCTAATATACATATTGCATATGCATATTACATCTGTAACAAAGACCCAAACGAAATGCTGGTGCGTACAACAAAGGTACAACCATAGAGCAGACCCACGCCGGGTGATACTGCATGTTATTTCTCTTAAGTGACCATCAAGGCCTTAGCAATGAGAAAATTCATCTAAGTCTTTTCCAGGCAACAAATATGAATGCAGCCCCAAGTCTGCACGCACGCGTAGCTCAATTCTAAATTTTTTCTGTACAACTCGTGAGAAAGCCATCAGCGAGATGCATACCCGCATGCTGTGTTTCTTAATTGCATATTCAAGAGGGAAAATCCCCTTTTCAGATGGCACTGACAGCGACGCTCCTCGTGCGAGCAGCAATCGAACTAAATCAAAGGCCTCGTCGTATGTTCTCTGCAGCGTTTTATGGCACTCCGAGAGGGTGTTATTTGTTTCATTTGTCAGCTCTTTTGCAGCTGTCTTCACAGCAGTTTCGATATCGATTGCCTCCGCTAGAGCCGCCAAAATAAGAGGCCGTCGCTCCCCCACCGGCTCCTCTGTCAGTACATCAGGGGAGACAGAAGATGACGAAAAGACCATTTCAGCCGCCTGCAGCAGCCACGGGTTCCCTGGGGGTTTACGAGGCCTTTCTGAGCGGTTAGTAGGGCTTTCTGCTTCTGACTCTTCAGACTCTGATGAACAGGCAGAAATGTCAGTCATTTCCTGCTCCTGAGCGGCTTGTGAAGCTTCTGAAGCTGGAGGTTGCTGACGTGCAAATCCCCCAGGAGAAGACGAATCATCTGGTCACATACAGATACTGCACACAGTTGTTGTAACGTCTCGCTAGACTGTACAGACGTGTTGGCAGGGGGCAAAAGCTGCACAAAGTTGAGGATATTCCTTCAAGTGCTTGCAGGCTTAAAGTTTAAGGTTTAGCGTTGGAGGATGCATAAACACTAGGGTGTGCTCTGGTTCTTTGGCGTATAAACGCTGCAACTGGGAAGAACCTTCTTAAGCAGGAACACTCAATAAGCTTCAGAAGGTGTTGAAGGCGTTGCATTCAAGCTACGCACTTCCCATTGGTTTGCAAATAGGCTTTTGTTGGCTTAAACAGCCTTAACATCTTTTTGGGGAAACACATCAGTCGAGATTTTTTTAACAGAATATGATAAACGTTGATTTCAACGCTGTGCGACGCCTGTATGCGTTGAGAGGAGAAGAGAAGGAAAGACAAACGAGGTACGGAGTATTTAGTCCACTAACTCAGTGAGGCCATTGAGCGCTGCTCACCTTCAAGGGAGAAAGAGACCTCTACAGGAATGTGTTTGTTTCCCCGCGAGTTCATTCTCCGTTATTCCCTGCTCTTCTGTCCTTTTCCTCTTTGCATGCCGAATAAGAAGGCACAGTGGCCTTAGGCTGCCTTCGTCTTACGGTGCTGCCTTGGCTAGAAGTAGAAGATTTACGAGCAAGTATTACGTGGGGAATGCAGTCGCAGGATGATGTTTTAAACGAACATTGCTCACTACTTTCTCATCTGAAGCCACCTTCTGCCTTACGATTGGTTTAAAGAGGCCTATGGAAGGCACTGGCAAATATGCACGAAGACGCGCAAAATGTAGGAGAGCGCGCAGCTCAGCGCCCTTGTGAGTAGTTCTTCTCCTGCGGCACTTGCATGAGTTTCAGAAGTCGATATGCACCTGGGGAAGGGAAAGCGGCCCCAGTATGTACTGTTGGAGGCGTTGGGGGTAGAGTAAGCTGTATAACCTGAAGGCTATATGCATTGGGGCACCGGAAATACGGCGTGTGGCGCCCGGCCCCTAGCAGCAAGGCTGGATAAGCCCTTCAGATGTCTACTGTTGAAAATTGTCGATTATTGCTGGCTGTTTTTTGAATGTGCAAACATAGGTGTTAAGCATGGGGGGTAGTAGACGCTCTAGAAACCAGTTCCATCGTGACGAGTGGGCAGACTGTCAGTCATGTTATACAGGCGCTTGTGCCTAAACTACTCCAAAAAACTCCATTTTATAATGTGCATTTCACAAGAAAACTGTATAAGAACAATACTTAGGGCTCTTTCTCTTCAATATAGCTGCAGCAGTCCCCCAAAGAGGTGACCCTGGGGGGGAACGGACAGCAGGTGGGGGAGGCGTTTGAAGCGAAGAGCGTGAAAATCTTCTTATACAGAAGCAAACCTAAAGGAAATAAATAAGACAAAAACAATTATAAGAAATAATACAAGTAATAATCTCTTCTCTGCCAATGCAGTTTGAGCGCACACAACGACCACTGCTGGTGTTTGTGTCAGTCGGCAGCGCAGCGCTCTCCGTCGGCCGCGTGCTGCTGAGCCTTCTGCTGTTGCGCTTTGTTTGTTGCTGTTGAATTGCAAAATATATTAAAAAGCTTTATTGAATATTGCAAACCTTCTCGCGCTTATATCGAGCTAAAGTCCGGACGCTATAGTATATTTAAGTATTATACTTAACAACAATCGCTCCTCATTGCACACCGTTGGTTGGTATTCGCAGTTATTGTTGTTTGATCTTCTTCTCATAACAACACCGTCCGTGTTGGCTACAAGCCGCCTTTACCCCAATGCAACCTCTTATCTTTTGCCTCCTTGCCATTGCCTACCCTCTTGCTGCAGCAGCCGCAGGAGCAGCAGCAGCAGCAGCAGCAACAGCAACAGCAGCAGCAACAGCAACAGCAGCAGAAGCAACAACAGAAGCTGCCTCAAAAGATCCAACCACCCTTCCCACAGGCGAACAATGCGACGAGAATGAAAGCTCATTTGATGCTTCTTCTGCTGCGCTCAAGCCAGCAGCTACCCCGCCTGCAGCAGCCCCCAGACACCTGCAGGCGTGGCGCTCTCGTGGGGGTATGAGAACGCAGGGCTACTCCACTGGCTATACTCCCAGCTACAGCAGCTCCTTCAGCTCCCCCACCTACGCAGTGCGCAGCAGCAGCAGCACCAGTGCGTACACCCCAACGTACAGCGGGTCCACGACGTACAGCCGCTCTATGCCCAGCTACAGCAGCGGCGTCACCTACCCCTCCGCCTCCAGCAGCAGCACAACTTTCTACAGCAGCGGCAGCAGCGGCAGTACGTACAGTGGAACAACGTACACCGGAAGTAGCAGCAGCCCTTACATGGGAACGACATACAGTGCAAGCTCCCCATACACCGGGAGTATGTACACCTCAAGCAGCGGGAGTTCATACACGGGAAGCAGCGGCAGTACATACACTGGAAGTACATTGGGCAGCTCCACCCCATATGCCTCATATTCGAGCGGGAGTTCTCGTCTAGGCAGCAGCAGCACCCCCTACATCAGTGCCAGCAGCACTCCGTACATTAGTAGCAGCAGCAGCCAGCCCACCTACAGTGGCGGGACCTACACGCGCTCAGCCCAACCATACACTGCAGGCAGCACCACTACTACAAGCGGTGCTTACAGCAGCAGCTCTGTCGTGGGGGGAGGGCGAACCTTTATGCCCAGCTCTTCCCCCTCCAGCAGCAGCAGCTACCATAGTTCAGGCGGGGGCGTCAGAGGATACCCTGCCACCCGCACAACCGGTGTTTCTGGTGTGCAGCCAATGTACAGCAGCAGCAGCGGCACCATCAGCAGCGGCACCCTCAGCAGCGGCACCATCAGCAGCGGCACCATCAGTAGCGGGACCATCAGCAGCGGGACCATCGGCAGCAGCACCATCAGCAGCGGCAGCATCAGCAGCGGTAGCATCAGCAGCACCAGCGGCAGCAGCAGAGGCACAATAGCTAGCCCTACAGGCTCCCAGAGTTACAGCAGAAGCAGCTCTGAAGGCGGAGGCAGCGCGTTGCGTGCGAGATCCGGTGTACCGACAACGGGTTCCTCCTTCAGCAGCGGGATGCAAAGGCAGCCTGCTGCACCGGCAGCAACTACTACAACACCCCTAGTGCGAACGGCAGCAGGAGCTGTCGGTACACCTGGAGCCAGCCCTAGCACACCAACACACTCCGCAAATGCCGCTCTCCCCCGAGGAATTACACCACCACCCGCCGACCCCACCCGATCGAGAGGCAACAGCAGCTTCCGTGCTTTCGGTGGAGGCGCTGAAACTTCTCCTGTACAGAGAGGAGATTCAGGAACAACTTATTACTTGAGAGAGGCTGATGGCTCCCTCACCCCTCTTGAACCTCCGCCATACGATCAAATGAAACCAGACTCTTACTACACCGACCTCTACCTCACAGACAAACCCATTCGGTTTGAAAACCATGTAAGAAAGCCATCACAACCTACACATAAAGCAGAATGCATGCAACATGATATGAAGAGGTATTCGGGGTTTAGGGAAGAGAACTTGTTGTTGCTTGGGGTTTACGGTGTAGAATTCAGGGTTGTACTAACTCCTGTATTTCCCTTACCTGCCTTCTTGGTCTCGCTTGATACTGTCGAGTTTGTTTTTGCCTTTTATTCTTTTTAATTTTTGTGCATTTTTGTGTTTTCTGTAGACGAACAAGGAGCAGAAATTCAAAAGAGAATTGGAGAAGGCCCATTTAACAAATGTAGAGAGCGAAAAAGAACAACCGACTCAAGGCGTTATGAGCCTTCCTGTTACGGAGGAGAAGAAAGGAGTGATGGGGAGGTAGCGGTGTTTATTGCAGGGGTGTTTATTCAATAACTCTTAAATTAGAAAACACAAGAGTGGTTTAGTATTTAAGACAGGCAAGCGGGGAATGATTCTTCTCTTCTTTTGCAGGCTGTGCAGCTATATTTCTTCGCAGTTTTTCTTCTGAACAAAGGACAGAGAGGCGGCTTACTCCCGTAAACGAAGAAACAGAAACATCATTAAACAAAACAGCAACAAACAAACGCGGCAGCACAAACATCAGCAGATCTGCTGCTGCTCAAGTGAGAATAAGGAGTTACATATACGGCAAATGATTGCACAAAGTGCAGCAGGGAAAATTCAAGTAAATGATCAATGCATAGGTATATCGATCAAAATAAGGAGGCAAGCACTTCTGTTTATTCATGGCTGCACAGTTGTTTTGCGTTTGCTTGAACATGCGCTATGAAATATATACTGCTTGCAGTATTTTCTGAATTATTATTTTGATCTATGTTGTAATTATGTTTTTATTGTTAATTCATTCACTGAGTTTTATTCGGCTTGCATTACTTTGCGTATAGTATGTTTTCAAGTTTCTATTTTTCTTTATGTACGTATTTGCCTTTGTGCATTTATTTCCAAGTTGGTCTTCGCTTTGTTTCAGCATTTATTAATTAATAAAAGCCCTCCTCCGCTTTCTTCATTACTTTTTTGGCGCTTTCTTCTTTCTACTTGCAGCCACCCCTCCTTGAGAATATTCGAATTCATTGGAGATGAATTCATTCTTTGTGGATACTCATTCAAAATCTTCTGTTTTCCCCGGGATCTATATAATATATATACATATATATATTGCCTTTGTCACTAATTTAGTCTTCTTTGCAGTGAGTTGTTCTACCTCCTTTATCTGTATTGCTTCATCGTGCCGTACTTCTATCTATTCAAAGGGTATTTAGTTTTGTTTTCTGAGTTAGTCTCATTTATGGTGGCATCCGCTGTTTCCTTTGCCTTAGAGGCGCTGCATTTTCAGAAAATCTGAATGGGCGAAGATTTGAAATTCGGCTGTCACCTTCACCTGCTAAAGAGCATAAGAACGCGGATGAGTGGTCGATACATATTCTATTTTTATTTCCATTCATTCGCTGCAGTAGTGTGCGCATGCACTTGCACAGAAAACGTGCAGTATAGTTGCACATAGGTAATACCATTTATTGTTTTAGGGGGCTTTCACCACCGGCGGCGTCTTCGTGCACGAAGAATTCAGAAACCCGTGCACTTCAGCAACGCATTTCTTTCTTGCTACGATCAATGTCTCATGATCGTAAACCGAGGGATATATTCTTGAATGATAACAGATAAAATTTATATACGGGAGACAAGCCCTAACGGTTTGTCAGCCTTTTCTGAACGAACTTTCTATCTTATACGTTTTTTTTTCGATTTATTCGATTGCTGCAACTTGCGCCAGGCGAACGCACATTAAAAGATGCCAGCACTTCCCAGCATTCTTATGCATCATCAAGTTAAACAGTTTCTTCCTAATGACTTAGTTCAAGGGATAATGCTCCGTAGAGTTAGTGAAAACAAACTCAGCTGTATACTGCTGTTTCCAGTATGTTAAGTGTTCAAACAGTATGCAGCGTGAGAGCCGAGAGCCAACTTCCGCAGTGTATACCCTTCTGCTCTGTTATATTACCCATTAATGCTGAAAGTTGAGTAAATGAAATATTTCACTGTCCACACTCATTATATAGCAGTACTTCTGCTGTGGCGGCGGCGCCGCAGCACGTATGGTTCCCGTAAACATAATCAACTCTCATGATGCAATCCTTACACATGATCAGAATCTAAGAAGAAATTGAATAAAATAAGTTGAAGACGTAGTTTATAAGTGGAAAAGGTTGGATCGGCAACAGCAGCCGCTGCGCTGGCTACGCAGACGTCAGATGTCTGTCTGTGGTCAGCGGACCAGCGTTGCTGTAGGCACCTCTCCTTCTGTTAAAACTTCCTTCGTTTTCACCTCCTACTTCTCTCTATTTGCCTTGCTTTTTCAAGACAACTTTAATTTCTTCTTTATTCCGCAGCTGCTGCTCGCCTGTCTGCGAGTTGGGCACCTCTCTGCATGCCGGCTTCCCTCGCGGTACATGTTCAGAAACTCCCTGCAGAAGTTCTAAACTTGAATTTCCTTTTCCTGTCCTTTCAGGCTCATTACAGCAGATTTGCCGGCGATCTGCTGGAGCTTTTGTTTCTTGTTTTTCTTCTTCGCGGGTGGCGCTGAAGATCCATCCACCAATTCATATTCTTTGCGGTTTCAACTTTCTTACACACCATGGCAAGCCGCGCTTGGGCAGATTTCATGAACTATTTCCGCACCTACGGGCGTACGACGCATTTCTGGGGCCCCGTAGCGAATTGGGGTTTTGTAGTTGCAGGATTATCGGATATGAGGAAGAGCCCCGAGTGCATTAGCGAGAGAATGACCGGCGTTCTCTGCGTCTACAGCCTCCTCTTCATGCGATTTGCATGCATGGTACAGCCCCGAAACAACCTCCTCTTTGCCTGTCATGCATGCAACGAGGTGGTGCAGCTAACACAGCTCTCCAGGAAGCTCCGTTATAATGCAGAACAACGCGCCCTGCCGCCCACCAACTGAAGAAGCAAGCAAGCAATTCACAAAATATAAGCAACAAGACACGAGTGTACAGACACTTGAAGGGACATTTGGACCTGTTATCGCTCCCAGCAGCACAACCACCATGTGCGGTGGTGGTGCTGCTGCTGAACAACAAGCAAGAGCGCCAGCAGCAGCAGGAGCTCGCAGCAGGCAGCAAGCAAGTGGTACTATTAAGGATACAATCCGTATCTGTTTCGATGGAGGTAGCAGCCAAAGGGAGGTGCTGTGAGGCGTTGCAATGGCTGTACTTGCGTCTCTATGTCTCTGCTCTTTCTAGCGGGAAGAAGGCAGCAGCTGTCTCTGTCTGCCGTTAGAGGCAGTGCGGCTATTAGTATCGCCTAGCGGCATGAGAATCCGGCAGCAGTTGAGTGTACTGCTGCTGCTGCTGCTGCTGCTGGCTGCGTTACTAGCACTAGCGGATGCTGCGATGTCCGGGGCCCACGACCTCCCCATATGGACTCCTTCCACAGACGCAGCAGCAGCAGTGCCACGAAATGCTGCTGTTGCTGCTGTTGCTGCTGCTGCTATTGCTGCTGCAGTGGAAGTTTGCCTTTTGTTACCGTTTCTTTTTTGTGTTGTGTAAAAGCAACAAACGACAGACAGCCCTCTGGCGTCTACGCCTGCTACTGTTTATATTATAGACAGCTATCACAGCGTTGTTAGGGCGTATCTACAGAGATATATACGTGCTGCCTATACAGTGTAGTACACTAGAATAAAGTAAAACATAATATATAGATAGAATATATAAAATGTTCAAGAATGCAAACTCTGGCAGAGGGCGTAAACAGCCGAAATTGGAAAAAAGATGGGGGCTTTGAAAAGCAAGCAGCAAGCTGCAGACACTACAACAGAAACGCTGGACCCAGTAGCAGCAGCAGCAACAGCAACCACCGCCACCTACCGCTGCTGCTGCTATGTTTACATGCGAGTAATAAAGTGCCCCAGCACCGCCTGCCGCACAGCAGGCCTGCAGCTCTTTAGTAGCCAAGCCCCAGCCCACAGCAGCAGCGCGTGCTGCAGCAGCTCCGCCGACCCCACACTCTCTAGACACCCCAACCCCACTGAGGGGCCCCTAGGGGTACCCCTACCCTTCTGATAAGCTTCAAGTGCTGCCTCCTCTCCGCCTGCTGCAGCAAACTGCGCTTCGCCAGCGCAGCACTCACGGGCCTCAGCCCCCGTTGTTGTTGCTGTTGCTGCTGCTCCTACAGTAATAGGGGCCTCTCCTTTGCAGCAGAGGCCTCCGGGGCAGGGGCCCCCAGAAGGGTCCAGGTGGGGCCCCCGTGATGGAGAGGTGGGGCCCCTGGAGCGCGTTGCTGCCTGCAGCATTTCATTGAGGGCTGAGGTGATAGCTATGAAGGAGTTGCGCTGCAGCACACAGCAGAACAGAAGCACCCAGCAAACAGCAAACAATCGAAGAGGCTGCTTGAATGAAGCTGCTGCAGTAGCTGCAGCAGCAGCTGTCGCCGTCTGCCTCTGCTTCCCTGTCTCTAGCCCTCTTTTTCTCTATCTCTGGCTGTCTCTGGGCCCTCGTCTGTCTCCTTCTGTCTCTGCCTCTGTCTCTTTTCTTTGTTCATGTTTGTCTCCGTCTCTGTTTGCCTCTGTCTCCGCTTCAGTCCCTGGCTGTCTCTGTGCTCTCTCTCTCTCTTCTCTCTCTCTCTGTCTCTGTATCTGTCTCCCTCGTTTCTTCTGTCTCTATCTCTGATGTCTCTCTACCTCCACTGTCTCTGTTTATGCTGTCTCTGCTGTCTACCTCCGCTCTGTCTCTGTCTCTGTCTCTACTGTCTCTGCTGTCTCTGCTGTCTCTGCTGTCTCTACTATCTCTGCTGTCTCTACTGTCTCTGCTGTCTCTACTGTCTCTGCTGTCTCTACTGTCTCTATTAGTGGTGTGCGTACGTGCACGGGGGGCAACGAGAGCAGCACAGCGCGGCATAGTATATGGAGCTGGTCTGTATGTACATCTTTAACAGCAAATTCGCTAGGAAAGAAGCAGCAAGTTCTTCCCCAGTACTCCAGAAGCTGCAGCAGCAAAACAAACACAACACCCTTTAACAAACCCCTCACTCACCCCACCGTTGCTGTTGCTGCTGTTGCTGGGGCGGTTGCTACGAGCTGCTGCTGCTGCTGCTGCTGCTGGTTCAACTGCTGCTGCTGTGTCTTGCTGTCGATGCTGCTGGTGCTTCGCAAATTGCCTCATGGGAGTGAAGCAGAGCAGCAGCAGCAGCAGAAGCAGAAGCAGCAGCAGCATCTAAAGGAGCATCTGCTGCAGCAGCACTTACCGCCATGGTGGCGCCCACAGATACTCCTGAAGGCACTTCAATGCCTCGCTCTATGCATGCCTTTAAGAAGACAACTTCTCTCTCTAGGGGCCCCCTGCAGCAAAAGGGGCAGTGCTTGTGACTCTCACGCATCAAACTATCATTTTCCTCTCCCCCACCGGATCTCATCCTGCTGCTGCTGCTGCTGCTGCTGCTGCTCCATTTGCTGCTGCTGCTGCTGCTGCTCAGTTTGCTGCTGCTGCGTTGGCTCGGGGCGCTGTCCCCGTCCACACCAGAAGCCGCTGCAGGTGCTGATGCACCCGATGCAGCAGGGGTATCTAAGGAGACCTTCTGGTGCTGCATGCAGGCATCTGCACCCGCAAGGAAGGAGGGCCAAGTGAAGCTGTCTCCTCCAGCAGCAGAAAGGAAGAGAGCAATGTCTCTCTTGAGGTTTACTTCGCCGCTCTGAGGCCCCAGCAGCCCTTGCTGCTGCTCCCAAATGCTGCTGCAGCAAGAATTATCCTCACTCAAGTAGCTGTCCTCGCTGTCGCTGCTGCTCTCACTTGTGCTGCTGCTGCTGTCGCTGCTGCTGTTGCTGCTGCTGCTGCTGCTGCTGTCTGGTACAAGGGCCCCCTGGTGCTGGCCCAGAGAAGGCTGCAGCCCCCCCCCACAGCTTTTGTCTCCTCGCTTGCGTCTGCTGCGGCTTCTTTGTACCGGAAGAGGCACCCCTGCTGCTGCTGCTGCTGATGCTGCTGCTTGCGACTGGCTGTGCAAGTGCGAGAGCAGCCACCAGAGTTCTTTGGGTAGGGGGAGCATTGCTGATTTATTCTCCGCATGTTCAGGTGTATGTTCGTTGTTTTTTTGTTTCTTTTGTTGCAAGTCTTTGTCTCCTTTTAATTTACTGTGCATATCTTCTGATGGTGTTGAAGCTGCTGCTGCTGCAGCACCAACAGCAGCAGCTTCTGATGCTGCTGCTGCTGGTGGTGCATGTGTTTCTGCTGCTGCTGCAGCAGCAGCAGAAGCAGAAACACATGCAGGCAGCAACGTCTGCTCCCCCAGCAATGCTAGGGGCTGCAGCTCTGCACCCAGCAACGAAGGCATAAGAGACGCAGCAAGGCAAAAGAAGAGATCTTGTCTTGAGTCTTCTAACCTCAGCACTAACACCCCACACACCAACTCTTGCGGTGTATAAACACCTTCCTGAATATTCAAAATCATCGAAAGAACCTTCGTCTCCCCTCCCCGCAAAAACCCCTGAGGCCAATCCACTAACAACCACCTGCACATACACCCCAAATATATACATATACACACAGCACCTTGTGAAAATGGAGGGGCCCACTAACGGGAGGGGCCCCCTAACGGAAGGGGCCCTAAGGGGGGGCCCCTGAAGGGATAGAGAATTGTAAGGGCCCCCAAGGGGCCCCCCAAGGGCCCCTAAGGGCCCCCAAGGGCCCCCTAAGTGCGTCCAGGGGACCTTACGGGGCCCCGCACGAGCCCCTAAGGGGCCCCCTAAGGGCCCGAAGGGGGCAGTACTTTAAGCAGCAAGGGGCCCCCATATAGAGAGCACAGGTATAGATCAGCAGAAGAGACTCAGTGAAAGATTAAAGACAGCAAATAAGAGTGGGCCCTTAGGCTGGCTTGCCTTACCGTTCTAGGCGAATCTGCTGCTGGCGTCCACCTGCTGCTGCTGGAGCTGCTGCAGAAGTATCTGCTGCTGCTGCCGCTGCTGCTGCTGCTGCAGCTGCTGCTCTATCGTCATCTCGCGGGGACTCCAGGCTTGATGAGGCGGGAGCCTCAGCTTGCCTTTGTGACTCTTCTTGGGGGAGGGGCCTTGCTTCACGCTGCAGCAGCTGCTGCTGCTCGTGCTGCAGCGGTAGCTGCACGGTCTCGCTGCTGCTTATAGAGTGAACAGAGCGGGCTTCCCACAGGGGGCCCCCCAGCCACTTTCTTGATAGGGCCCCATGCCAGTAGGAGACATGAGAAAGAGGGACAATCGACTTCTCTGCAGGTGAGCATACACCCCACACCCCACACCCCACAACGAATCAGTGCAACGCCCAAGCGCATGCAAAGCAGCAGCAAGGAGACGCCAGCAGCAGCAGCAGCAGCTAACAAAGAAAACAAAAGCGAGGCACCTCATAATCAAACTATTGCCCCAACACAAACAACAAACCCTAAACCCTAAACCCTAGACCCTAAAACCGCAAACAACAAGCCCCAAGCCTAAACCCGAGCCCCCAAACTCCAAACCCTAAACCCTTAACCCTAAACCCTTACCGCAGTCTGAGAGACAGTAGACGGAGTAGGCTGTAGGAAGAGTAGCGTGGGGGTTTGAAAGACAAATTTTTAAGTGCATCGGCTCATAGGGGCGGATAGGGGGCAGCTGCAGCAGCGGGGGATCGATAATCAGCTTGCTGAGGCTGCGGCCTTCTTGCTGCAGCAGCAAACACATCACAAACCCTAAACCCTAAACCCTAAACCCTAAGAACGATTGGCATAAACCCCGACCCCTAACCCTAACTCCTCAAGCGTGTGGAGACGGGCAATCCCCTGCCTCGGATGCTGCTAAGCTGCTGCTAAGTTGCTGCTGCTGCTGCTGCTGAGTTCCGTGCTGCAGTAAGGAGACAACCTGCAGCAGGGTTAAGGAGACACACCTTCAAAGTCTGTCGGAGCTCATTGCATTTATTCTTCACTCTCTCTGTATCCACCCTCTCCACCAACAAACGAAAAGACATCCAACGAACAAAAAATCGGGCTATCACTCCAATACAAAACCTAGGGGGCCCCCCAGGGGCCCCTATAGGGGCCCCCCAATGGGGCCCCCCAAGGGCCCCTCCTAAGGGCCCCCCAGGGGCCCCCCCAAAGGGCCCCCCAAGGGCCCCACCAAGGGACCCCCCAGGGGCCCCTACAGGAGGCCCCCCAGGAGCCTCTTCAGGGGGCCCCCCAGGGGCCCCTCCGTGGAGTCGCCAATTCCAAGCCGGCCTGCAGCAGAAACCCCTAAAGGAGACAAAGAATAAGGCGACTATCTACCCGGATTAGCACCAGCAGCAACAGCAGCAGTAGAAGCAGCAGCTGCAGCAGCAGTGTGGGCGTGGTTCTAAACACGAGTTGGACAGTTGCAAGGAGGCTCTATCTGTGCATGCAGCGAGCGCGCCCGATCTCTCTGTGCTGGTTGAGGCTGCTGCTGCTGCTGCTGTTGCTGCTGCTGCTGCTGTTTCATTAGCAGCATTTGCATGCATTGTAGCAGTCTCCTTTGTTTATCACTCACCGCCGCCACTCCGCTACTTTCCCTGTCTCCTGCAAGCTAAAGAGCTGCTGCCCCTTTGCTGCTGCACTGGGAGTGCGGCAGCAGAAGAAGCCGCATGCATCTTGTATGCTTATATCGAGTTGCTGCAGCTGCTGCAGCCGCCGCTGCCGATCCGCAGCAGCAGCAGCAGCAGCGGCAGCAGCACCGAAGCGGGGGCCCCCACCAGGGCCCTTCCGCAACGAGCAGCAGCAAGAAGAGGCTCCTTCCACCGCTCCCAGCTGCTGCTGCTCCTCCAGCAGCTGCTGCTGCTGCTGCGCACCCAGCAGCAGCAGCGGCTTCAACTCCAACGCAGATGCCCACCCGGAGTCCGTCTCAAAGCGGAGGCTGCAGCAGCAGCAACAGCAGCAGCAGAAGCAGCACTAATGAACAGCTGCCAGCAAAGTGTGGGGCCCCACAGGTACACTAAGGGCCCCACATTCCCCAGTTTAAAGTGCTGCAGGCTGCACTGCATGCAGCTGCATGCAGAAGAAGGCCTTCACCTCTTCTACACCACCCTAAAACCCTAAACCCTAAACCCTAAACCCTAAACAGCAGTCCCAGAACAAGCAAAGGCAGCCAGAAACGACAGCAACAGCAGCAGCAGCAACAGCCACAGCAGCAGCACGGGCAAGAGCAACAGCAACAGCAGCAACGCCAGCAGCAGCAGCAGCAACAACGCCTGCACCAGCAGCAGCAACGTCAGCAGCAGCAGCAGCACCAACGCTTGCACCAGCAGCAGCAGCGCCAGCAGCAGCAGCAGCAACTCTAGCAGCAACAGCAGCAGCAGCAACAACTCACTCCGCTAGGATGGCGAGTAGCTGCTGGCGCTGCACTGCCTTAGTTAAGACCTTCAGCCAGGCTACCTCTCTCCGTCTCTCCTGGGCAGCAGCAGCAGCAGCAGCATTCCTTTGGGAGCACGTCCCCTTGCAACTTCCTGCTGCTGCTGCTGCTGCTACTGCTGCTGCTGTTGGTGTTGCTGCTGCTGTTGGGTGGCCCGAGACTGGAGCCTTGTTCCGCTGCTGCGCGCAACAGCTGCAGCCGCTGCAGCTGCAACTGCAGCAGCAGCAGGAGCAGCAGCAGGAGCAGCAGCAGCAAGGCTTTAAGGTCTCTTCCCTTAACTTAACATCTACGCATGCAAACACAACAGGGGTCGCTCCTACCATTACGCGTGCAGCAATACCCCCGTAAGCAAAGGCTTCCTGCACTACCTCGCATCCGCAATCACTCCCGCTGCTGCTGCTGCTGCTGCTGCTGTTGCTGCTGCTGTTGCTGCTGCTGCTGGGAGGCGCGGTGGAGGGGTCACGTGCTAAGGCTGCACACTTCCTGCTGCAGCAGCAAATTCCATCCTGCTGCTGCTGCTGCTGCTGCTGCTCTCGGCGCTGCTGCCGCCGCCCTGGGCGGTGCGCGAGACCCCTGAGGTGTAAAGGAGGCAGCTGAGGGCCTCCTGTCTCCTCCCCCTCTGCTGCTGCTGCTGCTGCTGCTGCTGGGGTTGAAGCTGGCGTTGCTGCTGCTGCTGCGTCCGCCTCCGTCGAAGTGTCGGAGAGGCCTAGGAAGTGGGTGAAGTTAAAGAAGAAGTCCATGCGTTGCTGCTGCTGTTGCTGCTGTTGCTGCTGCTGTTGCTGCTGCTGCTGCTGCTGTCGCTGCTGCTGCAGCCTCTTCTGCGTCTCTAGACTGAGGCCCCAGGGTAGCGAATAGTTTTGCTGCAGACTGCGGCAGCAGAAGGAGCCCAGACGGGTCTTAGCAATACTTAGTAGAGTAATTTTAGAGAGGTGGCTGGGGTGTACATACACCAGGAGCAGCTGGTTGTAGCGTTGAGGCACATCTATAGGCACAATCTGTTCATAATGCGGTACAGAACTCCTCCTACTCCCTGCTGCTGTTGCTGCTGCTGCTGCTGCTGCTGAGTCGCCTGCAGCAGCGTAGGAACTCCCTGCGCCCCACAGATGCTGCTGCAGCGCTCGTGCTGCTGCCCCCTCAGCAGCAGCAAATGCTGCTGCTACGCATGCAGCCCACGCATGTCGGTGCTGGGTCGCCACCTGATGTAGCCTGTAGCAGCAGCAGCAGCAACAAGAGCAGCAGCAACAGCGGCAACAGCAACAGTAAAAGCAGCCTCCCAGCGGTCTTACTCTGTGGGCATATGCCCCCTTAATGCCTTTAGCCTAGTTCCCACACCCTCTGTTTCTGCTGCTGCTGCTGCTGCTGCTGTCAGTTCTGCTGCTGCTGCTGCTGCTGTTGCTGCTGCTAGAACTCACCCCACAACGACGAGGTCCTGCTCTGTGCCCACGGCTGCCTGCAGCAGCGCATGCAACCGCAGCAATTCAAGGCTTCTGCTTTGGGAGCTGCAAGTTGGTGCTTCGCTTCCTTGCTGCTGCTGCTGCTGCTGCTGCAGGGGATGGCTGCCGCTGCTGTCTGCTGCTGCATCTGGGGGCGGCATGCAGTGGGTGTCGATGTCTACAGCAGAGACATCTAGCTGCTCCTGCAGCAACTCAACAGCAGCAAGCTGCTTTGCTGCTGCTCTCAAGATCCTGCGGCGCCCAGGCAGCAGCGCGGCCCCCCGCCCCTTCCCCAGGGGGGCCTCACCTGCACAGCAGCAGCAGCAGCAGCAGCAGCAGCAGCACATTATATATATATATATATGCCTGAATTGTAGGTACCCTGTTTTGTTGCTGCAGTGCTGCAGTGCTGCAGCAGAACTTACTGGGCTTGGGCAGGGAGGAGATGGAGATGTGGGGTGGGCTGTCGGCGCCTGGTAGGTCGAGGGCTGTGGGGGGTGGAGCTGAGACCGGGATCGGGATCGATGGTGGGATCGGGATCGGGGTCGGGATCGGTATCGATCCCCCCGCCTCCCCCGTTGCCTGCTGCTGTGGGGCCCTCTTAGGGCCTTCCTCATGGGAGGAGGGCCCCTTAAGCTCCATTACGATGCAGTTTGCATGCACTGGTGCGGCTTAGAAGGCTTGCATGCATGCACGCATGCGTGCATGCACTACGACAATATCTGCATGCATGCACGCATGCATGCATGCATGCGCTGCTGGCTGCGACCCCACACTTCCCACAGCCCCGATAGAAGTGCATGCATGCAGACACCAGAGATATATTCAATAAGAGACTTGTGTGTGTATGCGTGTGCGTGTGTGTGTGTATGTTCGGAGTGGAGGTGAGGGGCGACTAGGGGCTGTCTACACAATAAGAATTGCAAATAAAGAGAGAAAAGAGGGCAAAAATAATAGAAATATACAAAAATAAATAATATATCTCCTTGCTGCTGTTTCTGCTGCTGCTGCTGCAGCGCGAGTGTATAAACACCACTAATGGCGCTGCTGCTTCCTTGAAGACCTTTGCTTGTTGATCTCCTCCTCCCTTTAATAGTATTTATTTTAATCAATTAACTCAATTAAATTAAGAAGAATTTATTTAAAAACAATCAGCAACTGCATGCAATGCAGCTAGCTAAAGGCAGCTCAGGTTGGGGCTGGGGAGGCAGGCGCCCCGTGGGGCCCCCCTTATATTTTCTGATAAAGAAGAATAATTAATATTGTGAAAAGGAAATTTTTTTAAATAAAATTAAATATATATTTTGTTTTAATTAACTCCATTTGTGATGCTGCAGCAGACGCAGCAGCAGCATACCCGCGACAGCCTGCACTTGCAGCAGCTCCTCACTCTCTTCTATCTTGTCTCTAAAAAGAGTAAAAATAAGAAAATAAATATAGAAATAATAAATTATATTTAAATAATTAATGCAAATTTGCATAAACAAAACTTAAAAATAAAACGAGACACCGCAGCAGCAGCAGCAGTTTGCTGCTTGCTGCTGCTGCTGCTGCTGCTGCTGTCTTTTCTTGCTGCTGCTGTGCTGGTAATAATATTGTTCAAAATACAATTCAATTAATTATTTTAATTAATTAAATTTATTTATTTATCTTCATTCATATCTTTATTTTTATTTAATTTATATGTTTCACTTCATACAATTTGCTTCTCAGCTACACAAAGTCGCTGCGCCTGCAGACAGCATCGATGCTAAGACGATATAATAAAATACAAAGGAATTAAATATAATAAAATAAAATAAATAAATTAAACAAATTAAATATAATAAAACAAATACAACAAAATTAATTTGCATGCAATCAATCGAACAAAATAAATAAAAGTAAATACAAACAAACAAAAATAAAAAACAAATAAAAATATGTAGAACAAATAAACAAAATCAACTAAATTAAATAAAACAAATAGAAATAAATTAATCAAATAAACAAAACAAAATAAATTAAATAATAAAACAGAATATTAAAGATAATTAAAGCAAAACTTAAATAAAGCATAATAATAATAATGATAATAAGTGAATTAAATTAAGAAAAGAAAAAGAAAATAGCAAAAAACAAATAAATATAATTAATATTAATATATATATATGTGGATAAATATATATTATATATATAGTTTATATTGTCTATCTACTTACATATATATATATATATATATATATATGATGTGCAAAGGCAAACAAATAGAGAAAATAAAACA